TATATGTTCATTCTTATTTCAGTAATACATGATCATGATTACTGTAGCTTTGTAGTATGTTTTGAAATCAAGATGTGTGAGTCCTCCAATTTCATTTCTCTTTTTCAAGAGGGTTTTGACTATTCTGGGTCTCTTATATATGAATTTTAAGATCATGTTGTCAATTTCTAAAAGGAAGCCATCTGGAAGTTTGATAAAAATTGCACTGAATTTGTAGATCGATTCGTGGGAGTCTTGCCATCTTAACAATAAAAAGTCTCCTGTTCCATGAACTGGGAATGTCTTTCCATTTATTGAGATATTTCTTCCAGCAATAATTTATTGTTTTCAGAGTGTAAGTTTTGTACTTCTTTTGTTAGACTTATTTCTAAGCATTTTATTCTTTTTGATGTTATTTTAAATGGAATTTTGTTTATAATTTCACTTTTGGATTGTTCATTGCTAATGTGTAGAAATACAATTGATTTTTTATATTGATTTTATATTCTGCAACCCTACTGAACTCACTTATCAGTTCTAGAATTTTTTTAGTGGATTCCTTAGGATTTTCTATTTTTAAGATCATATCATCTGTGAATATAGTTTTAGTTTTTCTTTTACAGCCTGGATGTCTTTTAATTCACTTTCTTTCCTTATTGCTCTGTGTTGGATATCTGAGACAATGTTGAATAAAAGTGGTGAAACTGGATACCCTTTTGTTGTTTCTGGTCTTAGGGAGAAAGCATGCAGTTTTTGTACCATTAAGTATGATGCTAGCTGTGGTTTTTTCAGAGATGCCTTTTAGCACGTTGAGGATTTTACCTTTCATTCGAAACTTATTGAAGGTTTTCATTTTAATTATGAAAGGCTGTTGGATTTTGCCAAATGCATTTCCTGCATCTATTGAGATAATCATATAGTGTTTGTTTTTTAATTCTATTGATATGGTATAATACATTAATTATTGCCATATATTAAATATCCTCCTTGTCTTCTTTCCATATTTTCCATCTTATTATTCCACTTATACTTTATTGTAGTGTGTGCCTCCCAACTAAAATTTGAGCCTGATGAAGGTGGAAACTGCATCTTGCAATAATTATTGGTCTTCAAGTGGGAGATCTTTGTGGATCTTGAAATATGTGAACCTACTAAACACCCCCCTGGTAAAAATACCACTAAGAATAAAAGAGAGAAAAACTAAATTGGATTGAGGTGTGTATTGTGGGTAGTCATTGAGTCTCAATCACCAGGGAGGTGTCTTTTTCTTACAGACGAGTCTTCAAGAAAATAATTTAAATTTGTTCCTCAGCAAAACGACAAACCACAGACTGCAGAGTCACTCTTGGATTGCATAAATTTCCAGTGCTGCATTCTCTAGGGTCACAGGCCATCCATATTCACCCCTATGGTACCCGGCATGTTAGGAGGATAACAATTGTTTGTTCATTTTATTAGGACTGTGTTCCATGCACTAAGCAGCAGGTTAAGTTCTGAGGTTATAGAAATGCAAATCACCATGGCACGTGTATATCTATGTAACAAACCTGCACATTTCTGCACATGTACCCCAGAACTTAAAGTCTAATAATAATAATAAAAAAGAAATGCATGAAATATGGTCCTTGCTTCAGGGAGCTCAGAATCAGTGGAGGTAGAAGACACTTAAAATACAGGTGAAAGTGCGACAGTGGTGCAAACACAGGGGAGGAGAGAGGATGAGGCTTCCTGTAGCAAGCGAGTTCTGTTTTCCCTTTCTTACCTTCACTGCCATGTCCTAGTCCAAGTCACTATCCTCTCTCTCCTGGAATAATAACCAGGTAGGAGCCTTCTAACTGACCTCCCTGCTTTTACCTGCTACCTGTGCAGTTTATTTTCAGTAGCGCATCCAGGGTGGTCCTTGAAAAGCTTCAGTCTTCTCATAGCCACGGCCCACACTGACTGCCTATCTTTCCACTGTCCTCAGAGCCCTAGTTGCTGCCATGGTTCACAAGTTCCTATCTGATCTGGTCTTCTACTATGTCTCTGACCTCTCTTACACTTTAACTTTTGATAATACCACTGCACACGCTAATTTCCTTGTTGGTCTGCAGCACATCTCCACCTGGGATCTTTCCTTTTTTGCCTTCCTCCTCCTGGGACCACTCTTCCTCAGGTATCGCTCCTTCCTGCTCCCCAGGCTTCTGTGCAAAGCCCTTGTGAACAAGGCCTCCTCTGATGTCTCTGCATAAACTGAAAGACTCTCTTTCTCCCACTCCCTCTTTGCCTGAATCTGCTTTATTTTTCTGTATACCACTCATTCATTTGTTGATGGTCGATCTTTCCAGACTAGAATGTAAGTTCCATGAGATCAGATGTTTTTGCCCACTTGATTCATTATTGTGACTCCCACTGCCTGGCCTATTTCCTGGACCATTAAATATTTGCTGACCAATTTAATGTACTGACATCCTAGAGTCTGAGTAGGAGGGACTTAGGGTGAAAAAATGGTCTGGAATAGGAGGTAGACCAGGTGTTCATTGAACGGAATGATTTATTTCTCCCATATGTAAGGGTTGATTTTTGGACGAGATGGTTGCTGATGTCCATTTTCATCCACTCATCTCTGAAATACTATAACGAAATGGCAATTTGGAACCTAAAGTGGACCAAAGGTCTATGTGAAGGACACTGACAGCTTTTTGCAATCTGAAGGGGAAAACATGCCTGAAGGTACCACAACACATTTCCAGGTAGTGAACGTGGCTCCTGAGACCACAGCTGGTCATGGAAGCCACCCAGTACCAGTTCGGAAAGCATCTGGTTCTCTCATCTCAAGAACAACCCTTGCACCAAACCCCAAAGCTCAAATTTAATAAGAGGCTTCCTTAGCATAATGTATTATTAACAGTCATGGGCTGTTGAGTGCTTCCCTTGAGTCATGCTCTGTGCTGGGAGCTTAACACAGTTCTCTTTTAATCCTTTGAGTTATATATATTGATATCATCTTCATTTTACAGATGAAAAAACAGAAGCTCAAAAATGTTTATTATTTGCCTAGGGCCATGTGACTGGCAAGTAGCTAAACTAGTAAGTTTTAATTCCAGTCTGCTAGAGTCCAAAACTCATGTTCTTGGCTACATTGTATATCCCCAGATCAGCCACCTGCAACAGATATATTACTTCAGAGGGTAAGAACACATCCGCGCAGTTTCTCTGCTTTTCTGCCTTTGGAAACATGGAGAGAAAGGTCTGGCTGGAGGATCCATGAAACAGCAGGGAAGAAAGAGGAAGGTGGGGAGTCATGGAAATGACTGGAGAGAATGCTATTGTACAGGAGATGTTGGACACTGTGTATGTATCACAAGCTAATTAGGAGAACAGATTAAGCTGCTTTGGTGTCAAAATAGCTGTGGGGAAAACAACCTTAATAGCAGGTTGCAGATGAAAGAAAATGAAATGAGAGAGAAATGAGGAACATTTTAAAAGAAAACAATCAGCCTGGAGGGAATGGAGAGAGGAGAATAAAGCAGTACATTAAAAAAATTTAAAAAATTAACATGGAGTGGCTTATGCAAATCTGGCGAATGACAGTGGAAGAGTCTAGCCCCACAGTAGCCTCAGTGTTTGCCATGTTCAAAGCCCCACAGTTCCTACGGTACAGGAGACAGAAGGAAGGTGGTAAGCAATTTGGGGGAATCACTCAAGAGAAACTTCAGGGACCAGGGTGTGCTCTTACCCTGCTCATTCTCAGCCTGGCCACTCCCTGTGGCTCTGCCCTGTTTCCCTCTTCTTATTCCTCCCAGTGAGAGCCCTGGTCATTCTACCCCTCTCATGGATCACCATCCCTTAGTGGATGGCTCTCAGATCCGCTCTTCAGCCCAGATGGACCTCCTGAGTTCCCTACCCCATCCTGCACTATCTCACCTAACACATCAAAAAGAAACTCATCTGTCTCTCCATGTGCTCATGTCAGCACATGGTACCACCATCCACCCACTCATCGGGGCCAGAAAACTGGGAATTTTCTTGACTCTCCTCTCTCTCTCATATACCCATCAGTCAGTCACTGGATTCTGTTGCCTCTACTTTCTACATATGTCTCTAATCAGGTCAGCATTTCTCTTTACCTTACTGCCACTGTCTTGGTCATCACTTACCTGTACAACTGCAGTAGCCCGAAGAGTTGTTCTACTTCATTCTTCTCACTTCCCAATCCATTCCCCACACTGCAGCCTAAGTGGTCCTTCCAGAATAAATCTAATCATGTCACCTTCCCTCCTGAAAACCTTCAATGTTCCTTTTCTTTTCTGGTTATCTATTGCTATTTAAGAGGAGACCCCAAAACTCAGTGGCTTAAAACAAGCGTTTTATTATATTTTATAATTTCTGGGTTAGGAATTCAGCTGGGTGATCATTCCGTTGCATGGGGCATCAACAGAGGTCAGTTAGTGGTATCCAGCTGGTAATGGGTTTCACTCACAAATATGGCACTTTGCATGGAAGGTCAGAAGGCTGGCCTCAGCTGGGGCTGTCAGCTGGAGCTCATACATGCGGCCCCTGAAGCATGATGGTCTTAGGGTGGTTGGTCTTTTTACATGATGGCTCATGGCTCCACAAGTGTGAGCTCTAGGGAACAAAGTGGAAGCTGCATGGTGTTTTATGGCCTAGCCTCAGAAGTCATGTAGCACCATTTCCATACTACTCTATTGGTTGAAGCAGTTACAAGCCTGCTGAGTTTCAAGGAGAGGGGATATAGACCCCCACCATGGGAGAAATGTCAAGGAATTTGCAGCCGTGTCTTCTAACCACTTCAGGGTGAAGAATGGCCTCTGTGGCATGGTATATGTGGCCCTTCATGAACTGGCTCCTGCTGATCTTCCAGCTCAACATTCCCAAACTCATTGCATTTTATGCTCCAAGGCTGTAGCCCTCCTTAGTAACTTACTCTTTAAGTAGCCTGAGCTCTCATGAGCTATTGGACTCCTTACTCTGTTTATAATGACCTTCTCACTCTGTCTTCATTTGACAAAAGCTTTTTCCCCTCTCAGAGATATATATTTTCAGACACAAAGCTTAAAATCTCAAATGTCAACTGGTAGGATTTCAGGAAAAATAATAGAAAAGTAAAAAATAAAAATCAGGTTGTAGATCTATGTAGGGAGAGGAGGTTAAATTTCCAGGTAGTTCATATTGAGAGTGTGTACACAGCTCCTGAGGGTCATTTCTGCTTTCTGTGGCTTTCTTTAGCTAAGGCCAGAAATTTAAAAAAATCCCAATGGTTGTGTAGATCTCTTCTCACCCACCCATCCACCCAGTTAGAAAGAAGAACTTGTGGAGGGCAGGGGATATCACAAGAGAAAATGGCACACCAGGGTGTAATGTCTCAAGTAAGAGGCTTACTTTACACTTAATACTAGTATATTACTGTTCGTAATACTATACGGTAAAATTATCATGTTATAAACATATATAAGATCTTATACGAAACTCTGAATGGATTGACACTTGATAATTCTCTTAAGCAGAGCACAGTAAAGCAGTAGTGGTTGGCTACGTTCCATCAATTGTTTAAAATTCTTTTTGACTTTTTCTCCTGATCTTCTGTTATCCTTTCTGCAGGTTGCTTCTTCAACCCTTACATTTTTCTGGTTTATAGTTTGCTTAGGTCTTGCTTCTGCATATGAATCCTTCCATAAGTTTTACCCAAAGTATCATGGGAGATGTTTTTCTTCTTCTTTGGCTTGAGAGCTTTTGGCATTTTCATAGTTTATAAAGATCATCCAATGCCAGGTGTGTCCTCTTCAGAACCAGATCCAATAAGGGTCCAATTCATGGTGTTCAGCAACCAGATTTCTTCAACAGCAGCTTATAGTTTTGAAAGTAAATCTTCCCATTCAGTGCAGTGAAGTGCAGAACATACTCTAATCCAGCCAGGCAGATATTTGATACTGTGGGGCCTCTGAAGAAACCAATAAAAGACTTTTTAGTCTTCTGTGATCTTCTGTTACATCAGAATCATCACCAGCAAATATTAGCATGGGTTTTGTTCCCTCAGAACATTTACTGTTCTTAATGTCTTTTAGAGAGGCAAAATTCTCAATATCTAGTTCAATGAGATCCAGCACATGGTAGTCATACATACGACCTATTACTAGACTATTTGGCTGCTGCTGCTTATAGGAGCCAAACATCAATAAAGAACAATCTGACTTCTTTGAAAAGAATTCCAATGATGTCTGATCCTCAAAAGGTCTTGTAATATTTTTCTCTTTATACAGTATACCATATGGTTTTTTCAGTGCACACACATCTTTAAGTATTTGCATCACTGTTGCATTTGCATTTCTCCCTTTAATCAGCATGGCATTTTTATTGTTTTCATTGGGTTTCGGCTCTCTCTTTTCAAGGAATCTCTTGGCTCTTTTCATTTTGAGCTTTACAACTTGATCCAGAGCGTCCATTGCTACTGCTACCTGCAACTCTATTTTTAAAAAAATTCTATTCCCATTCAATTCTTAGCTTACGTGCTACTCCTTTTAGGAAGCTTTCTGTGAATCAGCCTAGGTTAGATTTTTTCCCAGCTAGTCAAATAATACTCATTACACAGTATTGTAACTGCTTGTTTAACAGCCTACATCTCTCACTAAACTGAAAGTTGTTAGAGGATAAGACTATGTATTATTCATCTCTTTCTCAGAATTTAACACAAGATTTGGCACCTGTCAATCACTCAATAGATGTTTATTGAATCCCTTACCCTCTCTGTGTCTCAGTTTCCTCACTTCTAAATTGAGCAGGTTTGTTAGCAATTGGGATAGCAACTAGGTTTATTTTATGTGCGTTTGTCTCATTCCATTACTAGGCATAGAATTGTAAAAAATTACGAAGTTATGACTGGATTCAGCAAGAAAGAAGATGGTGATCCATTAGTGATGTCTACCATGGGCATGGCAGAGGGAAGAGGCAGCATGTATGGTGTGCATTTAACATGCCTAGATTAGATCACCTCCAGGGCTTCTCCAGCCTTAAATGTCTATACAGAGTACTGTCTATATCACATTTATCTTGAGTCCCACATTGTAAGAGCTGGGAGTTTCTCATGGTGTCACTCAGTCTAATGTCTTCATTGCATGGATGAGAAAACTAAGACTCAGAGGGAATTGATTCACCTGGATGTCAGAACCTGAGTACAGGGACAGACCTAAATTGAATCAATTTGCACTTATCTAAGCTAAGCAGGAATAGAGGGTTATTATACAATAGATGCTAATCTCAGCTCAATATTAATTTTTCCCTTGCCTACTTCAAGGTATCAGACAACCTGGCAATAGAACCCAATCTGGGCTTAAATCCTGGGCACAATCACTCACTAGCTGTGTGTTCTTGAGGGAATTACTTGACTTTTATAAATTTCAGTTTCCTTTTCTGTAAATTGTGGATAATATCTATTGTATAGGTGAGAAAATATAGGGAGAGCACTTTTCACATTTCGGGAACACAGTAAGGACTCAAATGTTAGCTATTACTAGTAGTAGTATTAGTATGGCCACCTCTAGTGTTATCACCAAGCTTTTTACCTGGCTTACTCCCTGGAGCTAACACAGAGACCCAAACAGTATGGGTTGCAAGGCTTGGGGCACTGGTTATTTGGACTCTCAGGAGGGACTTGGTACTTTGTTAAGGAAAATTTGAAGAATCCTATTTTCCCCAACCAAAAGGCTTTGAAACTGAATGCAGTGACAAATTGTGGCTTGCTCCTGGGAAATGTTTCTAGACCACTATCAGACCAGCCACATTTTCAATCAGGATTTCTATAAAGGAGAAAGAGCAGCTCATCTAACAGGCCAGATGCTCGATCAGATCTAAATAGTTTTGTCTTTGGGAAAGAGAGGGAAGAAATGGTAAAAGTCAATAGAAAACAATTGACTTCAGACAAATACATATCTATCTGTCTCAACCAGAGGGGACAGGATCAGAGTCTCCCAGTGTTTAGGATTTTTCACTGAAAGTTGAATACTAATGAATTAAAGTAAGCTAACTATAAAGTTTAAAAAATAAATAATTTGGGAAAAATCAATAGAAGGCAATTGTTGTAGAGGCCTGGCATAGCAGTGAGGACTTGGGGAGCAGCAGGGAATGGTTAGGTGTTAATCTAATTTGGGGAGGGCTAATGTATGAAGCTCTCCAGGCAACAGTGACAAATGCACTTCTAATCATCTCCATATTAAATTTAGTATCAAGGAGAGGAGCACTTCTCTCTCTTCAGTTTCACAGGAATGTGATTAACATGGATATGAAAAAAGTTAAAGGAAACAGAATTTGATTTGAACTTCATAGACTATTTCGGTGTGAAAATTAAGATGTATTTGTAGGGTTTTAGTGGATAAATTTACAGGGATTCTAAATTGTGATTGAACCAATTCCATCTTGTATTTTTCTCCCTCCCCTTCCCGTTTGCTGGAGGTGTAAGTCTGCTGAGAATCAAGCAAAAGGAAGAAACAGTCAACCCAGCTGAGGGTGAGCCTTGCTGTGGTAGGGAGGAAAACCACTTTGGGACATAGCAGCGTGAGGGGTCTGAGGCTGGTTGTTGACAGGGAAATGGATCCCTTGGTTGGCCCTGAACCCTTTATCAGCAAAGAATGGGCTCTCTGAATTTAGAATAAGAGAGCTGAACACAAGAAGGAGGTGCTGTACGGTGATTCTAAATCTGACGGTCAGCAGTTGGCTATAGCGCTAACACAGCTGCAATTCCATTGACAGTGGTCCGGGAGGGATGACTGAATTTTCGTCTTCCTGCAGTCACTCTCTCTCACCTTCTAAGTAAAACGTTTAGGATTCAAAGGCTGAGAATGTAAATGGCTGCCTATGGGCATCTGCATCTGGAAAGAACTCTTCCCACTGAATAGAGACACACCATCAGTGACAATCCCCAGAATGTGCTGCAGGGTTTGCATGCTAAGAGTCTCTCTCTCAAGTTTCACAATTTGGGGACATAGTGAATGAAAAAAGAGGGAGAAGAAATCTGGGACTCCTCCCGCTTTGACAGTGCAGGTGCCGGCAGCTTTCCCGCCTTACATTTTGAACACTGGCTGTGCTTTATGGCTGTCAGGCTATGGTGTTTCAGGCTTACTTTTTATAAGAGCTTCCTTTTTGCAGTGTGCTTACAAATTTATCCCCTTTAGGGACGGGCCTTCTTTGAACATGCTCTACCTTTACTAAGTAATTTAAGGAACACAGACCATTGGTCTGGCTACACACTAGAAAACAGTGTAATTAAAGGGATGGGTTTAATTGGGAAATTGACCCAGAGCTCAATTTAGCATCATCATCCAGGCCAGACAGGGTCAGGCTGACGTCAGTGGGAGTCTGGCTGCCTCAGGAGTTGGGGACAGAGCTTGCTTGATTAAGGTGTTTCCTGGGAAATGAAATTAAGCCTAATGATTTTCAATGAAAGGGACTGCTAATTGGGAGGCAGTGCTGCTTAATTGGGATCATCTGCAGGTAATTAAAGGTTTCCTCCTGATGGCCTTCCCTGCTTATGACTCTGGGAGGTTAAGATAATGGAGTGATACAGACGTTCTCAGCCCCCTGTGCAGAACCTCTCCCTTGACCCTCTGTCCAAGGCCACCCAGCTAGGCCACCTTTCTAGTCCTTGGAAAATAGTGCTTAGAGTGATGTCTTCAATAGAGCCTCAGAAGCCTGGGTGAGTTTAGGTTTCCGGATTGAAGCTGCTGCCAGGGAGTGTATGAGGTCCCTGGAAAGGGGAGAAAAAGGCAATGAGGTTACATGGCATCCCAAGGAGGTGCCCTGTGTTTTGGTCTTGACACCCTGACCTCCAAGACCTTTGTGTCATATAACTGGCTGAATGGGACTTAAGGCTGACAATGTAGAGATAGGTGTCTTGCCCCATGTGGGAAGGAAGTCCTAGTATAGAACACTCTGAATTAGGAGTTGAGAAAACTGATTTCTAGTTCCAGATTTACTACCAACTGGCATTGTGACTTTTTCTCTTTAAGCCCCGGTTTTCTCATCTGTAAAATGGAAATGGCTATACCTCACTATGGATTATGTAAATATCCTTTCATTCTAGGTATTGGGTAAGGCCTGGGGAAGGATAAAATTTTAATCTGTGTTTTAAGGAACTCAGTCTATTCTGGGGAAAACAGACCTGTAAACCAACAATTGCCGTTTGGTGTCACAAGCCCTATAGGACAATAGAGGAAGAGGTCAGTCATCAGAGAAGGCTTCAGAGAGAAGGGAACATGAAGCAAGATTTTTGTGAGGATAAGTTTTATGACTGGATGAGGCAGTTGGCGAAAGCATGCCAGGCAGAGCAAACAGGATGTGCAAAGACAGGGGCATGCAGACCCTAGGGCACAGTCTGGGGATTGTCCCTGGTGGTGCATTTCTGCTGGGTGGGAAGGATGTACATTGTGAGGAAGGAGAAAAAGGGCAGTGGCGGTCACAGGCGAGGAATCACAGAAGGCCATGTATGTTACTAAGGGAGCTTGCTTGGACTTTCTCTAATAGGCAGTGTGTGGTCACTGAAGAGTGTTAAATGTAGGAGTGACAGGTCAGGACTGAGTTTGAGAAAAGCTACTGATAGAAGTGTGCTCCCACGCGGGGCACAGTGGCTCACACCTATAATCCCAGCATTGTGAGAGGCCGAGGCAGGCAGATCACCTGAAGTCAGGAGTTCAAGGCCAGTTTGGCCAACATGGTGAAACCCTGTCTCTACTAAAAATACAAAAATTAGTTAGGCGTGGTGGCACATGCTTATAGTCCCAGTTACTTGTGAGGCTGGGGAAGGAGAGTTGCTTGAACCTGGGAGGCAGAGGCTACAGTGAGCCAAGATTGTGCCACTGCACTCCAGCCTGGGCAACAGAGCAAGACTCTGCCTCAAAAAAAAAAAAAAAAAAGGAAAAAGAAGTGTGTTCCCAATTTGGGAGCTGGATTGAAGGCAAAAGAGGCAGGGACACTGCCAGGAAAGTTCAGAAGGCAGGAGGTGAGTCCCTAAATTCAGGCAAAGGCAGTGGGAACAGAAAAGGGAACAATTTGAGTTTGTATCATGAGTTGCATTGTTTGCTCGTGTACATTTTTAAGCTTCTGAGAACTCTGGAATCACAAGCCTCATTTTATAGCCCCTTTGTTCACACTTCTTTACCTGCTGTAACCCCACACTCTGAAGAGAGAGGCTCCCTGGGATCTGACTTTCCAAAGAAAACTTTGGTGAGGCTTTGGACTCCCCACCCAGTCTCGTCAGGTAGGAGGAATGAGATAGGACCAGAATTTGGGGCCTCTGGCCTCCCTAGGAGGCTTAGAAAAGAGAGCTCTGGCAACAGGCAGGAGTCCAGCCCAGCTCTTAAGTGTCAGTAGCTTTTGAAAAAACATGCGATGAAAAGCAGCCGAGGCTGGAAGCACAAAGGTGAGCAGGAGCTGCGGGTGATTGCAGCCTTCACTGAGACTGCAATCTCACGTTCTCTCCTTTCATACCTGGCAGCTTGGGTAATAGGCAGAGCATTCATGTTGCAATGGATAAGGTAGGGTCCCATTTCCAATTTTTTTGAAAAGCTGTTCCCAAGAGTTGGGTCACCTTAAAGACTCAGTATCAACTGTTGGTGCCAGTGTAGACTCTTGGGACTAAAGCTATTACCTTCTAACCCCATCAAAAAGCATCTTCAGTGTTGAAGTTTTTTGAAGTGTTCAGCTATGATTCTCTATAAAGTGCCTCTTTGAATGGCTCCTGTGCAGAGTATAAGTTAATGGGGCTGAGATAAGCTAGATGGGGGATTTCTTGCTTTTCCATCTGAAACCTTAACTGATCCACCCCTCCTCTTCTTAACTCTTACAGCACTGACTATCTGTACCACCCCTCAGCAAAGAATGCCCTAGGCTGAGATCGAAATGTATGTGTGTATCCATGGAAAAAGGACTCCTGGGTACATTTTCAGAATTCTCACTCCAAAGAGCAAGTTCAATTCCTTTCAGCTTGTTTTGTGGTTTCCTTTTGAAGTCCAGCATTAAAAGAACTGGAGTAAGAAGAGTGTGAAAGGGCCTTTTCCTCTGTGGAAACCTCAGCTTGACCTGCCTTTTCCCTTCAGCCCCTAGAGGGAAGGAGCCTGTGTTTTCTCCACGTTTCTGGGCAAAGTGAAGCACACAATAGTCCTTTAGGACAAACTTTACACCATTGACCATGTGAAACTGATTCATCCAGGGTGACTGAGTTTGTCTTATTACCTTGGTACACTCTTGCTGGGTGAATGAATGAATTTTCTTTATTCCAGGAAAGTGTTTCCCGAAAGGGACCATAGGAGCTTGCTTTGAAAGAGCTGTCCTACATAAGCACCTTCTTACTGTGCTTGGGATAAAGTCCAGCCTCTTTACCATGGCCCAGCTTCTGTGGACTCTGTGGCCTCATCTAGCTCTGCTGTCCTCATTCTTGCTGTTTCAGCTGCACAAACCACTTGTCAGAGCCCCACCCCAGGGACATAACCCGGACAGTTCCTTTGACTGGGAAGTTCTTTTCCTCTGTGTCCAGCTAATTCCTAGTCATCTTTTAGCTGGTCCTGGGGAGGCCTTTTCTCACCCCTAATCTATATCCCTTTCTATACTCTGTCATCAACCCCCATACTCTTATATCTCCTATTAAAATTTGTCCTTCTATATTTACGTGTGAGATTATTGGCTTAGCCATTCTCCACGTCTAGACTCTAAACTCACAAGGGCCGTATCTTGTTCTGTCTTAGTCACCACTAAATTACAGTGCCCTGTACAGTGTTTGGTATATAGTAGGTGCTTAGCATACATCTTTGAGGAAATGAATATAACTGATGTTGACTCTTAGTTCAGCATAGCAGCCAAGGTGGGCAGAGCCGGGATGTATTAGCTATAGTGCAAACAAGCCTAGATCTGGCCCATCCCAGAAACAATGAAGGCCACAATGCTTCTAAAACCTTTCCTGCCTCTACCCAATAGGAGCTGTCAGAGCAGAGCAAAGAGGTTCATGCCAGGGTCTCAATGCTTCTGACTCAGTAGTAGTTCTGTATTTGCTTCTCTCATCCTCTGACTCCTGAAGTACCCTTGGTACTTTTTTCTCTCTCTGAAGGGTTTGGTGGTCTGATGGGCTGGGAGCCAGTATGGGGAAGGAGGAGAGATGAGCTTATTTGGCCAGATTGGAAGCTGGCAGAACAGTTTTCTTAGCAGGGTGTCTGTTGATGAAATACCTACAGCCAGTTGTGAGAGGTTATTAATCTCAATTATATCTGATTATGACATGATTGGATTTGGGAAGAGACTGTCCAAGTCAAGCCTGGCCCCTCTTGATGTTTACCCAATGGCAGGATCGTAT